TCTTTAACAGCCTCTGAGGGTGACACTACCTTCATGACGAGGCAGAGATCATCGTAGCGCAGAAGTAGGATCCGGTCTTGAAAACTCGACAGAGGAGTGAGGGCAGAATTGCAAGAAATCTTCAAGTACGGCCAGCAGGAAAAGGGTTACTGTCTCTACGTCGAGACGTGAAAAAGTGGGGTAAGCGCTGTGACTTGTGCTCTTTGAGAAGGGGTCCAAAGACAAGGCAAAGAGGAAGGTTAAAGCAATACCTCAGTGGGCGTCTTCTCGAAAGAATCGCAATTGGCATCCTGGGTACACTCCCTATGACCACATCTGGTAATAAATACCTTATCGTTGTGACGGATTATTTCTGCAAAAGGCCTGAAGTAGCAGCCTCACCCAACCAAGAGGCTAAAACGGTGGCAGAAGTGCTGTTGCAGAACGTAATTGCCAGACACGGAGCACCCCAAGAACTGCACTCTGATCAGGGCCGCAACTTTGAATCAGATTTATGACAGGAAATGTTGGGAATAGAGAAGATGAGAACAACTGCTTTTCACCCACAATCCGATGAAATAGTTAAGAGGCATAATCGCACCATCAATTACTACCTCTCGATTATTGCCTCCGAAAACCAAAGAGGCTGGGATAAATGGGTTCCTCTCTATCTGTTGCCATACAAAAGCTCCCAACATGACGCGACAGGTTACACACCATCCATGTTGCTAAATGTTCGAGAACTGAAACTTCCAATAGATGTATTGTGTGGATGATTCGCAAGAGGTACCTATTTCAGAGTATGTAAATGACCTGAAGGAGAGACTGGAAATTGTACACCAATTTACCATATTCAAATTACAGATTTCCAGCGAAAGGATTAGTATAAGATTTGACAAAAAGTCGCTGCCGGCGAGCTTTAAGGAGGGCGATGGTGTGTGGCTCTACCAACCCCAACGTCGGAAAGGTTTGTGTCCCAAATTGCAGAGACCATGGCAAGGACCTTACTTGGTAACCAAAAAAATAAACGATCTGGTATACAGAATCCAATTCTCACCCAGAAGCAAGCCTAAAGTTGTCCACATAGAGAGTCGTAATGTCCCGTCTTGGAATGTTGTTCGGGACGAACAACCTCAGGGAAGGGGGTAGTGTTGGAAATCATGCCCTGAAGAAAATAACGCCAGCCGCCACTGGAACTTTCCCACGCCTCCGATTGCCAAATATAAACACGATTCACTCGCCTATCGAGACAGTCAAGTGGAAGTGACAGTGCGGTAATCGGAACGATCTAGTAATGCGATAGGCATTTGAATAATAGTTGATATTTCAGGTAAAGTATTTTGTTATGTTGATAGTGAAATGAAGTTGAGTTTGATTATTGTTCACTGTAGTCACTTATCGGTAAACCCACGGTAAAAATACGTTGAAATCGATATTCATCAAGTGCCGGCCAATTCCATCAGAATTTATTCTTTCATCAGAAAATTTTCAACAAACCAAGCCTTCAAATATCTAAAATATTTTTCATTCATGAAAATCAACTTTTTTGAGATACTGATGCTCAACTCTCAACAATATAAGAAGTGTAATATTGTAAATCAATAGTTATGATTTGAAACATAAAGTAATCAACAATCGCTACACACGAATTTATTGAGAAAGGCAGATTTTCTTCTATCTATTTGAACATTCCACCAGAGTCACTTACAATTACTTTACTATATTTTATATTGAATGGTTGCGATTCAGATTTCATAGAAATATCAATAGATTTCAAACCGTGAACTAGAAAGATCTATGAAGTAAAATTTGTAGATTCATGACTTTATTCATAGTGGACTAAATTTCGAGAGCTAAGTCGCTTAGTTCGTGAGATAAAAAAACTGGCGTAGAACCAGACCAGACTTAGTCCATTTCTTCAAGTAGATGGTAGTGCATACGAAATCACTTTTTACGACATTTTTTAGTGGTCGGGAACTTTTAAGTTTCAAAAAAACTCATAAAAATGGATTTTTACGTAAAACATGTTTTTTTCCGTCTCCACCGCTATATCTCTCAAAGTAATCGTGCTATCAACCTGATTTTTTCTTTAAATTGAAGAGGATACAAAAGCGCTTCTAACGATGTACATCATGATTATAAAATATTTCAATTAAATTTGTTGTACTGATAGAAAATTTAATTTTCATATTTTTGTGAATGTAATTTATAGCAATCGATAAACTTTTTTATTTTTCAAAATTTGTACATATAATATGCGAACAAAATGAAGCCAAAGGATGAAGGAAGTTTTTGGAAAAACAATTTTTCATCTATATACTTATGTATCTAGACAATGATTTTTTCAAAACGGGCTAAAAATGCATTCGCGGGCGCCCGACTCTCTCGTTTTCCAT